AAAGCAGAATTCCAGTTTTGGCCGGCCAAATTCCGAATCTGGCCGAATTCTAAGTTTGGCCACAACATATACATGCAAAACGCGTAACTCTGCTACCGGAATCTCTTTGCGTTATCGTTTTTTCTCTTTTCGTCTATCCTATAATATTCGGAAAGAATATTGTAGAATCCTGGAAAGCGTCTTGTTTTGTAGAATGAAGTGCGTTCTTCAAAATCCACTACTAGCTCAATTCGAAATAATTGACGACTTTTCGGTTACAATCGAAATACTAAAAGCCCTACAAACAAACGACAATGTTTTTGGGGCTCTTCGTATTTTAAGTATAGCATAAAAAGCAGCAGAGTAAAAAAGTAGCAGAGTTACGCGTTTTGCATGTATAACTGATTTTTCACACGCTTATTTTTTACGAAAACAGCAATCCAATTCATTCTTCTAAATTAAGAAGTTTATATAAGCCGACAAAGTGTAAGTAATTCGAATGAAATTTTAGTGGAAGCAGTATGTCACAGATGAACTGAATTTGCACGATGTTTTTCGAAAAAATCGTATGATACCGTAAAATATCAGCAATATTGGCCGACTGATTATACTTCATATTAATGCCAATATACCGGTCGGCGTTATAATTCGTACCGGTATCGGTATGCCGATACCGGTTGCACCTCTGGGCTCTTATCATTATGTATACATAATGATAAGAGCCTGTTCAGCAAAGGACCATGTTCTGCAATTATCGTCGACTATCTACGTGAAAATTATGTTGTATGGCCATGGGATGTAACATAAGAATCGAACAGAAATACGTAAGCGGTGCATGATTAAACTGATAGAACAGCGAAGAGCTTTCAGGGCAGATAGTGAAAGTACGAAAACTGTTTTTTTTCCAACAATCCTACAGATCTTCGCCCCATGGTAATAATTTTTTTGCCTAGGCCTGAAACTGTTCTTCATCGTCTACTCTTTGTCGATACCCAACAAAAATGATGCTTTTACCCTGATAAATATTCCATTCAATGCAGTTTGTTTCCATGTCAGAAAATCGTTTTTTTTCTCTTCAAAAATCGGAAGTTTTTAAATCCTGAACAAAAAATATCTATTTTTGTTGGCTAGTTTCAAAGAATAGACGATAGAAAACAACAAAATAACATCAACAAAACGTTTCTGGGTCAGGTGTACGTGATTGTTATAAAATAAAGAATAAAATAATTAATTGTTGATTTTAATTCCATTCAACTTTAGTACTTCATGTCACGAAAAACACTTATGTCATCTGCTGAAAACGTAATTAATTAATTGTACCTAATATGATAGAAATATATGCACGTTTGTTCTACGTACAATTATTCTCAGTTAGCAAGAGTGTGTGTCACACACACACAGTCAAAAGTATTATGCCTGATTCTTTGTCACTGGTAATTGCTGGACTGTGTCAATATGTTCTACCAATTAATTTTGCTTTAGGTACAACTGGAAAGTTGTTTAGTATTGTAATATTTACTCAAAGACAATTACAAAAACAATCATGTATACGAATTTTATTAGTTCAATCCATTGTCAATATAAAAATACATACAAAAGATCCCGGTTCTCTCTATCGGTCTTCTTACTTGTATCTCACCACTCCCATTACCGCCTTTGACATTATACAAAATTTTGTATACGGGACCCATCGTACATTTTCACCAGTATCTTTTCTCATTTTCTACTGCATAAACGATTGAAACTAAAACAAAGCAGTAGCTATTCGAATTATGAACATTGAACCTTAAGAAATAATCGTTATACATACATGTAACGGATGAAACTAACAAAAAGTATTTGTCCTTTTCTTTTCAGTACTAAATATGATCAACTTTTGAGTCTATATTTTTAGTGCACATAATCAGCAAAGCGTTATACTTTATTTTTAATTTAAACATAACGAGCGGAGAACGTCTCTTTCTTTTGCACTGCCCTATAATTCATTCATAGAACAGATAATATCTCTAAAATTTGCTGTCATGATTTATCAATAAAGCCTGTTTCCTCTATTATCTTTGAACAATTTAAGTTATTCAAAACAATAACAGGAATTAATCAAAACTTGTTTGTATATCAAGTAGAAATATGTCAAATATACTTCTATCAAGATTAGCGAGTGGTGCCTTGTTTTTCTACATCAGATCATTAATCAGCGGCATAATTTTTTATTGCAGTCACTTTATTCGTTGTCATAAATCCATGTTTCATTGCTCGATTTTAATTTGGCCTAGGCTAACTTAAAATTTTAATATAGGCTAGCCTATACTAAAATTTTTAAGTTAGCCTAGGCTGATATAAAATCTGCTTGAATTCGTGTAACATATATACATATATATGTCAGCTTTCAAACTGAGATTACGTCCAATCTCAGATTGGCCTAGGCGAATATCGCATCCAAGATTGGACGCGTCCATACTAGGATCTGACATTGGACGGACATTTATTCAGACCATTCTCGGATACAACATGGAACACACGTCCATTCTAAGATTGGACTAGCCCATTTGCAGACTGAAAGATAGGTGCGGCGAATCTCGGATTGGCCTAGGCCAATGTCGGCAGAATTGTTTTATTCTCGAACTAACTGACTAAAACTGAATGCATGCTTTCTTATGTATATGTCAGCGTCCAAACTCAGATTACGTCCAATCTCAGATTGATCTAGGCGAATATCGCATCCCACGTTGGACGCGTCCATACTCGGATCCGACATTCGACGGAGATTTATGCGGTCCATGGTTGGATAAAATATAGACCACACGAAAAAATAGACAGAGATTGCTAACGATGATGCAATATACAGACCTAGAATAATAGTGATCACAACTAGGCGAATAAACCAATAGATAAATGGAATAAAATAGACGAAATAGAAAAAATCAAATGAAAATAGACAGACGAAAAAGTGAACCACAGTCAGTATAATACTAAAAGATCACGAGATTAATAACAATTATTAAGATTTAGTTATTAATCTTATTAATAATTATTAAGAGATTAACAACAATTAAGGACATTAACAACATTCATCTGCATTGATTTGTGTCTAGTGTTTCTGTTCACTCTGTTTTGTTGTTTCACTATGCTCAAATCTCACTTGCTTGATGGGAGTATAACTTAAACAGATGTTTCCAGTATTGGAGCAAGTTTTATGTTCACTCGCAAATTCTATCGATGGAATAATGCTGTATGAGACTTAAGTGTTAAACGTATTTATGGAGCTATAGGAAAACAAATCTTACGTAGTAAAAAAACTTACGCAGATCGAAACGTACTTTTCCGAATTTCTCGGTTTTCCAAAAGTGCGTTTCTTGGTTTACCAGTAATGTAGAAAACTCGATGTCCCGTGTCAGAGAAGACGATCGCGAAACCTTTATAAAATTCTTAGAATTATTTTTGTAAACATATTGTAACTGGGGGATGTTTATTTTATATATTTGTTTTTGTTTAATTCGTACATTTACTCTTGCGCTGTTTAGTGATTGCGTGATTCAGTTACAAATCCACCGTCTTGGTTTTTAAACTAGGTTTTGTCCTTTTGCTATTGTTTCTCATTCATGTTATTATATTCATCTCATGTAACTTTACTAACTTACATAACTTCAATGGTTTCGTTTTTTGTTTTTACATGAATGTCCTGATAGGTCCTACAGGCAATAATAAAGCTAATTATCAATCAATACTTATGCCTAAAAAGCGAAAGAGCTTCATGTTTTCAAAAAAATTCAAAACAAAAAATGATTCTTTTGTCCTATTGTCTTTCTCAAGAGCTTTTTCGTCTTTTACTGACTACTAAAACTTCTGAACGTCACATTTGGCCATGTAACTGGTTGTACACCAATATTAGCATTTCGATCATATTGTATTAATTTAATACTTAATACACCGCCCATAACCTGAAATGGCATATTCATTTTTCCTCTCACACCGACATCAATCACATGTAAACCCGGATTCAAATAAACAAAACTTGACATTTCACATTGAATCATTGTTACCAGGTATAGATCAAAACGTCCACCACCAATTGCATCAACAGAAATCAAATCATCTACTCCCTGTAACAACTGATAACGCTCTACGTTATTTGGTAATAATTTATCACCATAAAGAAGATAATCATCGATCATCAGTCGTACAAATAAAAGAACACCACTACTATGTGGAACGTGACATGTACCAACAAACTTAATTTCATACAGCAGTGGTTGTTTATGGTAGAATGGAACAGTTAGGCCAGTTACTTTTGAAAATGTATCAGATTCACCAGAAACTATAAATGTCATTGGTTTTTGATATTTGATATAATACACTTCCGATTGTATAAGACCGGTATAAGTTTGCTTGGAAGATATTTGAATAGTGTTTGATGGCATTTGTTGTTGACCATTACATTGGATGACTAACAAGATAAAACATAAAGCACCTATATTTGTCATGATTTTATTGTTTTGTCTTTTAAAAGGAATAACGAGATTTTATTCTGTCGCGATCTTATATATACACAACAATATCGGGGATAGAACCCAATTCGATTATTATGCGTCATATTCTATTTACCGATGGCATATTAAACTTAAGTGTGGATAATTAAGAGAGTAGAAAAACGGATTGTATGTATAACATATACACAGAATTCGATAGTGTTTTTTTAAAAATGGAGAAGAAAAAGAATTGACGAAAGAACTGAATAAATTCTACAGCTCATTGTTCATTCACAGAGCTTTTGAATCGACTACTCATAAAAATGAAAAATAATCGCTTGATTACACGATTACAACCGAATGGTTTGAAAGTTGAACCGAAGAAACTTTTAACCAATGGAATTCAAATATAAAAAATTTGAGATTTTACAGTTCTTATGACAGTAGAAGATTCAATTGAGAAAAACGAATTTCCTAGCGATGATAGACAATAAATTTCAATAGAAAGTTAAGTTTTCATTCGATTCTTCACAAATTTCGAAAACTGGATCATTCAGCTGAAGTCTTTTAACTGAGAATATTGAACAATCGAATTATACAAAAAGAGAACAGGAGAAAGGAAAACTTGAGGGAGCGAGAAAATTTCACTAACGGCTTGAAATTTTCTATTCAACATAAATGTTTATCTGATTGGTCGACATATAAGATTGTCTGCCTTATAAGGAAGATAGACCATACTTAGAGAATATTCAAATCTGACTGTTCGACACATGAGATTATCTGATTGTCTGCTTCTCTGCTCTGTAAGGAAGACAGACCATACTTAGAGAGTATTCAAGTCTGAATATTCGACATATAAGATTGTCTGATTGTCTCCTTCTCTGCTATATACGGAAGACAGACCATAAGTAGACAATATTCAAGGCCCAATATTCAACATAAATGATTGTCTGCCTAACTACTTTATAAGGAAGATAGACCATACTTAGAGAATATTCAAATCTGGATATTCGACATAAAAGAGTATCTGATTGTCTGCCTCTCTGCTTCATAAGAAAGACAGACCATACTTCAAGTATATTCAAATCTGAATATTCAACATATAAGATTATCTGACGGTCAGATTCTCTGCTCCGCAAGAGACATATACCATACATAGTAAATATTCTTATATCAGTATGAAAAACATTGGAATACTGGAAAAAATCTAAACATGTAACCTATTTAGATTTGACATCAACTGTGATTTTGTTAAAAGTGTTAACCATTACTGAACCTGCTGGAAGAGATAAAAGTGAAAAATAATATAACATCTGCCATGCGCATTTTTCACATCATTTTAACTTGTTCTATACACTAGACAAGACGCACGTAATATCATACTTTTTTCATACAATACGATTTTTGATTATGGATGATAACAACCCAAATGCTCCTAATTTAACTATTATAACAACAACAGCTCAATGTTCAGTCATCACAATAACGCCTTCATGTTCAGTCATCGCAATAACAGCTGCGGACAATGTTAGGGAAGCTGGCTTTTTTAAAGAAACCGATAACCACATTTGATTATTATAGCACAGGCACTTTGGGATTGATTGCTAGTAGCCCTGACGGAGAGTCAGAAGTGCCGAGTTTAATATTCAGTACTTTCGACGGGAATGGATTAACACCTGAAGAACATCTAAACTATGCAGAACAATTTCGTCTGCCCAATAACTATCGTAAATAAAGAAGGTCGTTTATAAAAACCGATGACTGTTTATGATGTTCGTTTCTCTATTTTATCAATTTTTTTCGGGCAATATATAACCTATACTTTTGAAAGTATGAGCAATTCTTGGATGATTACCTCCTGATAAAGTCCTCTAGATTTCTAACTGTTTTCTTCAAAAAGCTAAACCTTGTTCAATACCACAATTCTTTTTATATGTGTCATCGTTAAGCCATAAACTAGGACAGATCATTCGTAAGTAGAAATTGACTTTTTTGCTGTTGCTTTGTTTTTCAACGTCGATTCTGAGATTATGTGACGGTCAGTCAACAGTTTATATGAAGGATCGAAAAATATATCTGGAAATACAAAATTAGTTCTGTTATTCTTTTTTACAGTATTGTTTATGATAACTTAAAAATAGGAATCTTTTAAATTTGTATTAAATGAAGTTGTAATTGTTATTCCATTAAATGCTGTTGTATGATGATTATGATGATGAGAATAATAGAATTGCAACGAAAAAAAATAGCATTTAACGGAATAAGAATTAGAAATTCAATTAATACAAATTTAAAAGATTCCTGTTTTCAAGTTATTATAAATAATACTGTAAAAAAGAATAACAGAACTAATTTTGTATTTCCAGATTTTTTTTTTCGATCCTTCATATAAACTGTTGACTGACCGTCACATAATCTCAGAATCGATGTTGAAGAACAAAACAACAGCAAAAAAGTCAATTTCTACTTACGAATGATCCAAATCAATAAAAGTCTTACTATTTGATGCAAGACCACTGAGGAAAAAAGGATTCTTCTAAATTTCTTGAGACTCGACCGCCTCAACTGATTCCACGTGACTCCACTTGACTTCATGTGACTTCATGTGACTCCACGAGACTCCATACGACTGGAGTCCGACGGAGTCTGCTGTTTCCCTCTTGCTAGTCCCGTGGAGTCTCTCGGAGTCGGTTGACTCGGTGGGGTTCGGAGTTTACTGTTTTCCCCTTGACTCAACTGCAGTTGTTTCAATAGCAACCGCATGGAACGGGATATTCTTTTTGGACAACCTTCGTCGACCGCTGAGGACCGCTTGTGCGAATTTTACAGAAAATGAGCGAAAAATGGTAGCCCTCCATAAACTGTGAAAAATGGTAACTTCGTGTTATTGAGCAACCGATTAGAACCGACGATTTACTAGTACTTGACCGGCGAGAACCGGTCGTGTAGTCGCATGAACCGGCGTAAACCACGTATAAAATAAAACCACACGCGATCACCCGTGCGGTTTAGCGGTTGCACATTCGTGCCTGGGGTAGCAGAGTTGGTTGGCTACGCCGATCTTTTCCAAATGTAATAAACATGACTATTTCTTGAATGGTTTATCAACAAGAAAAGATATCTGCGGATTATACTAAAAAATTCGTTTGATTATCTTAATCGTCTTACTTTTTTGTTTTTCGTCTCATTTAAAGACAAATGAATCTAAGATCTTTTTCTTTTGTCTTGGAAACAAGACTGACAATTTTATCATCTACAGGGTGATGCATAACCTTTTGCTAGGGGGGTACAGCTCCAACGACAAATGATATAAAAATGAACTACATACCAAATAAAAGCTCATCGAAAACGGGATTAAGGGGTATAACTGGTAATCCATAG